ATCATCATCATCATCATCATCATCATCATCATCATCATCATCATCATCATCATCATCATCATCATCATCATCATCACCACCACCTAATTAATAATAACAATAACATAACAAAAATGCCGGCTAGTACTAAAAAAGCAGCTAACAAAAATAAAACTGAACCTGTATTAGTTACACGCACGCTACGATCTTCGGTAAAACGGAAAAACGAAGAATCACAAGAACCGCCGGTCTTTGAAGACGCGCAAATATCCAAAAGTGACTCGGAAGAATCGGTTCAGCAACAATCTGTTTTTTCATCGTCGTTTTCATCCTCAAATACTGCCGTCGCCAATAATGCCAATAATAATAATAATAATAATAATAATAATAATAATAATAAACAACCAAGCGCAAGAACAAAAAGTCGACGCGGTGGTCGAAATAAAAAACAAAAAGTTATCCGTGACCAGATGGATAATAGTTTACATGTCAAAGTTGAAGTGGATAATAATCTTTCACGAGAAGAGGATGTTATGTTGTTTGAAAAGCCAAAAATGAATGGTCGAAGAGGAGGTCGAAATAAAAAACTCTTAGTTACCAACAATAATCGGGATATGTCGAGCGAGGATATTAACGAGGAGCAAATGAATAATGCACAAAGCAAAAATAATGATGATGATAAAATTGCAGAAACTCATCCGGTAATATCCTACAATTCAAAGGTTAATAGTCGCCGAGGCCGTAATAGGAAGGTCATAATTGGGACTAGTAAAATAAAGCTTAACGTGGACATTAATAATAATAAAAGGAAAAATGCTATTCAAACTAAGGATGATGATGATGATAATAATAGTAATATTTTTCTTGCACGTCATCCTCCTCGCGAAATTTCAAATCAAACCAAAGTATCCCATCATAATAATAGTAGTAGTATTATTACACATTCAGCTAGTCTTTCCTCCGAATCTCATGTTGATCCGACGAAAATTGACGCGTCAGATCGCTTTTATTATAATTACCATAATAACCTAAATAATCATCATCATCATCATCATCATCATTATCATCATAACAATCTAACTAATAACAATCATCTAAATAACAACAACAATCATCATCATTATCATTATTATCACCATCATCATCATAATCATAATCATAATAATCATAATCATAGCAATCATAATAATCATAATAGCAATAGCAATAGCAATAGCAATAGCAATAGCAATAATAATAATGATGATAATAATATAAATAATCACCTAAATATTAATACGGGTTCTGTCCCAATGAATAATCATATTGCTAGGACTAAAAAAAGGACTGGAACGAAAAGCGCAAGAAATTCGGCCCGTAGAGAAGAGATCCATAAAGTGAAACCAGCAAGAGGCTCGTTAACAAAGAAGAAGGAAACACCGGACGTTGAGTTTCTAGTGACCAATCCGAAATCGGTATTAAGGAGAATTAAATTACCGGTAAGTGAATATTGATATTATATTTCAAGTTCTTTAACTTCGTTATTAAATAACTCATATTTTTAGAAAAATCTTGATATGAAAGAATTTCTTCCGTTTAACGAAGAACATCAGCAACGGTTACTTAATCTATTGCCCTTCGTTGATAAAATGCCATCATTTAATATGGATGATGATGACTTTGATATCTATCCAGAGAATGAAATGGAGTCGATTGATTTGACAAAAGAGAATAAATCCCCTAGAGATTTACCAATTAAGAGTGTGAATCGCTCATCATCATTATTATCATCATCACCATCACCATCAAAATTATCAGCGAAAAAATCAAATGCTTCGTCATCAAAATCATCGGTAAACGCTTCTTCACCAAATGGGATGCCAGTCGAAAGTACAGATACTATATCACATTTGATAAATGACGATCCAGAAGAATCAACGGCTGAAATTTCTCCATCCACAAGTAATAATACTAATAATACTAATATTGAACTAATAGTTTTTTTGCAAAAAGGCTATCAAAATATTATATTACATTATTTATATATATGTATTATTATTA